TTGTGGTGGTTGTGGTTGGCGGAGGGGTGGTGGGAGGAAAGATCGTGAGGTGGGATGTTTGTGTTGTCCGAGTCTGCGGCGGAAGGGAGGGGAGGGTGAGAGAGCATTTGAATGTTGGGGGCGAGCCCGGACGCCTCGGTGGACAGAGGAGACAGGGAAGACCGCGGGCGAGGAAGGAAGAGAACGGTCGGGAGGAGAAATGATTGGATGAGGAGGTCAGAGCAGGAGAAGAGGGAGATGGGAGAGCCAGGAACGGCCGGGCGGTCGAAAGGCAAAAGCAGCGTCTATTTGATGCAGCAGATGTTCGGCGGGGGATCAGCCACCGATGCCCTCTGCACTGCCTCTGCTCTCGGCTCGTCCAAGGCGGTGAGCTGCGCGAGAGGAGGAGAAGAGCGGGGTGGTGAGCGCGACGGAGGACGAGGAGGAGGAAGGAGAGAGAGAGGGCGACGGAGAGCGAGAAAGAGAGCGGGCTCGATTCTCACAGAGATCGGAATCGGGGGGAGTGTTATCGAGTTCGGCCTCCCACTCGCGCAACCCATGACCGCCGCGCTGAATGGATGACTTTCCATAAGCCTCTGCGGCTTTGCGGCCGCCGTAGATACATCAAGCGGAGAGTGAAAGTACCTACGGATTATCAGCCCGTATCCATAAGGAATGTAAACATGATTTAGAAGTCCGCAGACCGAGAAGTTCTTGGAGTACCGGCGCTCGTTGGGCAAAATAGCGCCCAAATGAAGTAGGTCCGCGAAGTCTGCCCTCACACTCGAGGCATAATATACTAAGGAAAACAAACTATGTAGAGATGTTCTACACATGTCCTGCTACCACATTATGAAAAGAAATTGCTTTGCACGACATATTTGGACGAGATATTAGAGTAACGAGTACCAACTAAATAAGCGCCCAAATGCCGTGTGATTATGACTCCATGCACGGTCGCTGCCCGATGCCTCTACTCCTTAACAGGACTCTGCAAGCTCCTTCATTACCTTCCTCACGATGCAATCAGCTCAGTCTAGCTCTGGCGAATCCTCAGGTGAAGAGGAGCTTGATGATGTTGCCATTCTCGCCGCTGCTGTCAGTGCCCTAGGGAGTGAAGAGGCTCGTCTTGAACGCGCCGAAAAGCGACAACCCAGCCGTCGCTACCTCCGTCGTCCTCAATTGTTGCCAAATCCCCGATGCGACACACCTTGGCAGGTGCTTTACGACAGCCAGGATGACCGTGCATTCATTACGACCATGGGCATCGACTGCGGCACGTTCGAATACATTCTGGAGAGCGGTTTCCGCGCACAATGGGAATCGGAGGCGATCCCGCGTCCAGACGCCGACCCTACCGGTGCACCTCGCCTTGGACGCCGTTCTCTCACAGCAGAGGGAGCCCTTGGTCTGATCTATCACTACCTCACATCTGCCATGCCCGACACTGCTCTACAACAAATCTTCGCCCTTGTCCCCTCGACTGTCTCCCGCTACCGGGCATTTGCCATGACTATCCTATGCAACACCCTGCGGAAAATCCCGGAGGCTGCGATCGAGTGGTGGGCTACAGAGGAAGAGTGCCGGCAGGACAGCGATCTCATCTGCGCTCGTCACCCCCTCCTCCAGGACGCCATTGGGTCCATTGACGGGCTCAACCTGTTGACGGCGTCCTCTGATGACACCGACATCGAGAATGCGACATACAACGGGTGGCTACACGGTCACTTTACAAGCTGTGTGTTCACCTTCTCCCCTCAAGGTCGGTTGACTGTTTCTGTCGCTTGCTCCACTTCTAGTACTTATGCTGCTGTACAGGTCTTATCAAAGCGGCAGTTCTCAATGCACCAGGAAGCTGGCACGATGCCAAGATCGCGCGGCCGATTTACGACAAGCTCCGTGACCGGACACCACCAGGGTATTACCTCGTTGCGGACACCGCCTTTCCCCGTGGAACCAACTCTATTGCTGGGCGCATACAAGCACCGCTCAAAGCTGGCCAAACCGTTCCGGCCAACTTGCAAGAACAAGAGGCCGTTCTCGCTCGCAACCGGCAGCTTCTCTCCTTTCGGCAGACAGCAGAGTGGGGGATGCGTCAGCTACGCGCTGGGTTTGGTCGTCTCCGCTTACCGCTTGACATCAACGATCCGGAGGGCCGCTTGGAGCTCCTGGAGGTCTGTGCGCGCTCGTGTAATGTGCGTGCAGTGCGAGTGGGGATAAACGAGATTCGCACAGTGTATATGCGTTACTGGCAGGAAGCGGAGGACAATGATATCTGGACGGACTTTGACAATGTAATCTTCGGAGAGCTACAGCGTAGGGATCGTGTGGCGCGTTTTCACCTTGTTGTTGTTGATGCATAGTTTTCTGTCACAAGCACACAGTTGTAATTTTTGAGAAGCTATATTCAAGAATAGGAATGATGTACAGCACACAGACAACTGATAACACAAGCAGAAGAAGGCATCAAACAAGTCTGCAGGGCTGTGAAGAGGGAAGAAGGTCATTACAGATAATGGTATGGTATGTCAATGAGTGGGCTAGGCATATACTGAGACTAGAATGTCCAATAAGCAAAGAATATGATGAGGCAATACTTAACGCGGGATATGGCTCCCAGCATCCCAGTCACGGCGCCGCTGAGGCGACGTGAAGGTCAGCGTGACCGAAGGAGCGTCCTCTTGCTCGTGCATGTGGTGTGCGGTCGACGTGGAGGCGGCCGCCGCAAGCGTGTCAAGAGAGCTGCCCGACGCGGTAGGAGTGAATGTGAATGCAGACAGCGAAGGTGGAGGCGGAATCCCAGAGCGTGGAGTAGATCCCGCAAAGTGTCGGATGGGGGAAGCGTCGAGCTGACGCTCCCTGGCAGGATAGGACCGGGACGGTGATGGGCTATGCATGGAGACGTTGCATGCGGAGGGGATGATGCGGGGGGGAGACATGGGTGGCGGTGGTGGGGAGGAGTACCTTCGTGCATAGGAGCGTGGACGACGTGGACGCGGAGAGCCATCGGTATCCCAGTCATCATGCCGCCGCCGGCCATTCCCGTGTGCAGCCTGCATCATCTCCATCATGTCGAGGCGTGACTGGAGACGGGCAACCTCTGTGGACTGTTGGTGCAGTCGGTCCGTTAACGTGTCGTTGCGAGTGCGAAGGTCGCGGTTGTCGCTGGATAGCCGTTGAAGCTCATCCTGTGCGAACCTGCGAGCATAGCGCGCATCATCACGCGCATTGCGTGCGGCGGGATCCAGGGATGTGGTGACAGCGGACATGAAATCCTGTGCTTGAGCGCGGCGGGAGGATGCAGCCGCACGGGCGGTTGACGCGGTGGCCTGATCCCGGAAGCCCTTCATAACCGGCTGAGCGAACGGCTTGCGAGCGCTCGCAGCAAGCAGCCCGCGCTCCTTCGCGCTTGCACGGACTGGCGGGTCGACGATCTCAACCTCGGAGTTTGATGCCTCATCGTCGACTTCGATGATGCTCTCGTTGACCTCCTCGTTGTTGTCCGCTATGTCCCCGTCATCGAGAACACCGAGGTGAATCTTCTCGTTGATGTGCTCTTCGATTTCCCAGGCACGCTCAACGTTGGCGGGAACGGAGGCGCTGCCCGTTGGCTTCGGTGTGCGCACAAGCTATAAGTGTTGTCAGTTGAGCATACATCACACCCACCCCCTTGTAGCACACTCACTGTATCGTACTTGGTCTTGAGGGGCTTCTGCGTGCGCGGCGGCCGGCCGTTCTCCCGCGCCCAGCTGTTGAAGTCGTCCGTGATGCGCTGCCAAGCGTTCTGCCCAATGGGAAGCTCTACCTCAACGAGGTCGAGCAGGGCATCCATGTCTTCGTCTGTGTAGTTGGAGGCGCCCGGTTGACGACCGTTGTGGCTTTGAGGGAGAGCGGCTGGCGGCCTGACCACCTGCTTGCCCTTGGCCTTCGCACTCAGCCTGGGTGGGGCAGCTTTCGGTTTCGGAGCGACCCGCGGCTTCTTTGCGACCGAGCTTGTCCCGTGCTCAAGGGCACGTTTCTTCCCTTTGTCAGACTTTGACGTCACGGCGGTGGGATTCGGCTGTGCAGGAGCAGGATGATGGGCACCACGGAGCTCGGGACTGCCCTCCCGGGAACTTGATTCAGAGCGCAAGAACGGCGGGTGCACGGGCGCAGATGCACGCGAACCCGACGCAGTGGGGGAGGGGGAGGGTGGACCAGCTGATTGGGTGTGTTGAGAGCCGAAGGAGGGAGGAAAAGTGTGAGAGAAAATGAACGGATGTGGACCCGGTGGGCCCGGTGGGAAACCGGCGTTGAATGACGGGAGGGCTTCGAAAGTAGCTGGCGCCGGCGCCGCAGAAGGGGGAAAGGCCGGGGGGGCACGGTATACAGGCCGTGGACGGGGGGGATGGGATGGGCCCGGGCGAGCTTGCAAATCTGATGCGGAGGGGTGGTCCATTCCGCTGCCGGCGACGACTTCTGTTGCCTGCTGAGAAGTCGGCCCTTCGGAGACATTTGCCTATAATGAGTGTGAGCGAACAATGGAGATGTGCGAGACGAGTATTTTACGTACAGAGCGCGATGGCGAGGGAAGATACCATCGTGCATGTTCGGGAGACCATCTTGGGTACTGATCTTGGTCTTCCGGGCGGTCCATGGCAGATTGGAGTGCAGGAAAGATAGGAAAAAGCGATGAAGGTGAAGCAGAGTAACAGTAACCTCGCCAGGAGGTACGAATATGGTGGTGAAGGAAACAACGATGAAATTGAGGGAGGGACGGCGGGCGTCCCACTCGTTGGCGGTCTCCTCAGATAGCGATCTGAGCGGAGCATGAATTGGCTGCCTTTTTGGGTCAGGAACGACGGTCTGCGGACGCGTTTAGGTCTAGAGAGGGGGTCGGGACCCCCTTCCTAGACGTTCGGCGCCTTCAACATCTACGGCGACGATTATGACCGGCGGAGTACAAATCGGACTCGGCATCTCGGCCGGTAGACTCGATCAACCATTTACGGACGACCGCAAAGCCGCAGAGGCTTATGGAAAGTCATCCACTTGTACACGCCTTCGAGGACCTTGAGCTGGGCGCGGGTGGTGCGCTTGCGGTGCTTGACCTCGTTGGGTGTGTACGGATAGAATGTGCGGATATCGACCTGGGAGGGGTCCATGCCTGGGGGGATGAGTGCGGGGACGCACGTCTGGTTCTGCTGGGGGTGGAGGTGCGGGTGATGAGGGTCGAGGTGGTGGAGAGAGGGCTGCTGCTGCTGCAGATGGTCGAAGCCGGGCTGGGAGCCGGGGAACGCGAACGGGTGGTGGTGGGCAGCGTTCGAAGGGCGGTTGAGGTGGGGGGCGACGGAGTAGAGAGCGGCCTGGTGAAGCTGGTGCGGGTGCTGGCTGTGGTTGTGGTGGTTGTGGTTGGCGGAGGGGTGGTGGGAGGAAAGATCGTGAGGTGGGATGTTTGTGTTGTCCGAGTCTGCGGCGGAAGGGAGGGGAGGGTGAGAGAGCATTTGAATGTTGGGGCGAGCCCGGACGC